TAAGTAAGATTGAAGGATTCATTTGTCTGAGTTCAAACATTGGTTATTGTTGGAAATATAGAAGAGTGCACACTATGCTTTGGCATAATTTTAGCAAGGCCATCAGCGAGTCGCAGACATTCATGCACTTTAGATATACATTTCATTTCTATTGGATATAATTTCCCAAACCACAAGACCTCTTATTGGATGGTTTTCACCACTGTTTACTAAGGTGAAGTTTAGATTATTAAAATATTTTGAAATGAAAAGGAGAAAATGTGAAAGGGCTTCCCAGAGAAAGTAGTAAAGGCCTGAAGAGAACAACAGTCTTCTTCTTTGATTTATTTTACAGATGAAAAATTAATACTGTTGTTTAGGTATTAAATCAATGAATTTCATGTGAATGGGCTGAAGATCAATTCATGTCCATATTATGGACGTGATCATTTAGGGGAGACATTCACTGATTTGAAATATGGTTCAAAATCAGCAATGTACCACAGGAGAAAATACAGTAATCATACAAGCTTCATAGTGGGCTTTTCAAAAGCGTTTTTTGTAGCACAATTGCCTCAAGTTGAATTCTATTTTCCTTTAGGAGTTAAGTAACCAGAGTCTTGGCAGTTGCAATATGATACTTGTAAATAGGGAATGATTGTGTTTCTTATTCAGAGAGTGATAATTAACACCATTAAAATTCTGAATGTGTTTCAAATTGAAGCATATGTATATTTGTTGATTAATAAAATATTTATGAATTAATTAAAATAGTCTAAAGATGTAGCCTTAGCCTTAGTTTATACAGTCTTTTGGTATTCCCCCATTGAAATTGGCACTATTCAAGAAATTTGGACATACTATATTTATTGAATATTCATAAAATATGCTTAAAACATCCATACCAAATACTTATGTAACTTGGAGCTTGAACCAAGATATATTATCTTTGTCAGCTAATTCTACTAATTCTTAGCATAATGGTGAGTATCAACAAATACATTTTGCATTATATTTGGATACAGGTTTGGTAGCTTATGGTTTATGGGTAAAGGAAAAATATATGATGCCTGTCATATATTCTGCACCTTTCCAGTTTATAGTAGTGTAGATTTATACTGGAAAAATATAATGAAGGTGACAGGTGCAGATAATTACCTGACTGACTGCTCTTCCTGACCTCAAATATTAAGCAGGATGTGAATTCACACATTGGGTGACCTTACTGATCCCTGGTTGCATCAAAGAGCCCCCACTTTTTCTAATATTGTTTACTTCGATTTGATATTTTTATTTTTTTTCTGTAAATTGACTGCAAAGAAGTGCAATTTTCTATGAGTGGCAAAGATTTTGGTCTATATAATACAGAGATTTTTAATACAAAACCGGAAGTAAACCATGAATTTTCATAACAAGGATTATAATGTATTACAGTAGAGATCCCAGTATATCAACCAGAATAGACTGATAGACCTTTAGCAAAATGGAAGCCACTAAATTGAAAGCAAGATTTAAATAGAAAAATAAAAGGTTTTTGACATTTCTGAGCCCTTTTGAACTTCAACATCATTATTACATTGCCCAAACCTCTTTATTGCTGCTATTCATTCAAACCTAAAGGTCTCTTCCATGTTTTCAAGACCTTCAAAGCTCTTGTCATCTTCAGTGGGACTGATGGTTTTGTTGAGAGCATGTTCCATTGCCTCACATTTTGCATGGTGCTTCTCCATGACCCAAGTGATGAGCAATTGGTTGGTTGCTTAGATCTTGTTATACTGTTCATTAATAACATGCGTCATTGTAAGCATAAGCCACTTTGGGGGGCATCAAACACATTTTTTCACATTACCTTAGAAAAATTAGCAATTGTGATGGAATGAGTAAATACATTTTTAAAATTATGATGAGACCAACCTTCATTTTTCGGAATAATTTTAAAAATCTCGCTAGCGTGCAAAAACAATAATAAAAAAAATTATTCATAAAAATAGATTAACATGATATGCCGTTCGTATGGAGTATTTTGATTTCTTTATGTTTTCATGATGCATAGTTGGTTTGATCTATGAGCAAAACATTTCGAAAATGCAAACCTCCCCCCCCTCAAATGGGGGTAGGATTGCCAAATGATCTGGATCACCACCTAAATTTTATGGAATGTTAGTTAGACTAAGACACCTCAGGTTAAAAAAAAAATAAAATCTGTCCGTAACTTTTTGAGTTAGGAAAAAAATAATAATTTGGATCCGAACCATGGTCCGCATCACCACAAAAGTACAAGCAACATCTTAATACATCTTTTCGTGTGGCAATTAGGGTGTTGCGAGACGCAACGCGACACTAAAAGTTGTCTCGTGATAGGAGGCAAGACAGGCCTCTATATGGCCGTCATCCCCTTTTTTTTTTCTCCAAACCCCGGATGTCCCAGGTTTGGGAGTGACGTCACAGATTGCCACTGCCGGGCGCAAAAGGTGCGGCGAAACTGTCCTACACTTCAGTCTAGAAACGGCGCCGTGGAAAT